TTTCTGAATTTCTGAATTTCTGAATTTCTGAATTTCTGAATTTCTGAATTTCTGAATTTCTGAATTTCTGAATTTCTGAATTTCTGAATTTCTGAATTTCTGAATTTCTGAATTTCTGAATTTCTGAATTTCTGAATTTCTGAATTTCTGAATTTCTGAATTTCTGAATTTCTGAATTTCTGAATTTCTGAATTTCTGAATTTCTGAATTTCTGAATTTCTGAATTTCTGAATTTCTGAATTTCTGAATTTCTGAATTTCTGAATTTCTGAATTTCTGAATTTCTGAATTTCTGAATTTCTGAATTTCTGAATTTCTGAATTTCTGAATTTCTGAATTTCAACGGGTCTGTTAAATCAAAAAAAAATTTTTTTAAGTCTAATTATTGAGAACTAGCACAGAAATAATTTAAAAAGAATCTCTATAGTATACAGGTCAAAGAATGCGCACTTTCGTTTAATAAAACTCTGAAAATGTTTTGTAGGTTTTCTCTCAACGTGGCTATTTTTAAAGAAATCGCTTTCTCAACTTCCCCCATTTTTCACTAATTTCATCAAGATTCGTAAAATGTCTAGCAGGGCATTATCCAGAAAAAACTCTTAATATTAAAAACAAAGTGGGTCCTTGATGTTCAGAATCTTAACAAATTATAATTTCACAGGATTGGATGAAAATGTACTGGATATTTCTTATTTTCTGCATATGTACGGTCGCTCCCCTGTTTCTCATAGAAATGTGAGTAAAGTTTTAAAAATTACATTTCAAACACATTTTTTCATTTTTTTCCAGTTTCGTAATTCACCGTTCTACTCAACTGCCATCTGCTTACGATCCTTCTACAGCTACAATCGTTCTGCAGCTTACAATATTTCTCATTGTGCAATTCATCTGCTTTTCAATTATATTGATCGTAATTCACGATTTTGTTAGCTCGAAATTCACTGTTTACTTCATGGTGAGATTTTCAACTTTATTGATTCTCAAAACTTTGAAAATTTAGGTTTTAGCCACAATTGCTCAGATCATCACTGCGTACAATCCCTGGATATCATGGTGTTATGCAAATGCGGAAAGCGCGTTTTCAGTCATGAAATGTAATTCCAGTTTTGAAAAATTACTCAAAATTTACTTGGTTCCAGATAGCCTGATGCTTCAAGTCTTCTACCACCCAATCGGTATTCTGGTTTCCATTTTTATCCCGTGGATTTCTTTCCGCATGAGAAGCATCGATAGGGATATGAGCCATGATCTATGAAGAAGAGGAGATTGAAACGAAAAAAGTTGTGGAACCTTCAGAATTTTTTGTTTAAATAAAATATTTTATTTTTGGTTATTTTTATGATAAACTAAATTATCAAAGATATACGGATTTCCGGGTCCCAACTATTTTTTTATATTTTGACCTTCAACGTTGAGTTCAATCATCTCGATTCCTGTCAAAAAAATATCAAAAATAGCTCAACTGATAACATGTTGCTGAAATTATGACAAACATTTTACCGGTTGACAAATTTTTGATATCTCTTATAGAACTTGAGATAATTGAGCTTGAATAGAGTGGCTTTTCATCAGATTGTTTTTTCTAATTATCAGATTTGTCCAGCTACTGAATTACGTTATTTATTTCTTGGATCCTGGTGGGTTTTCCTAATATTTCGCGTTCTGGATTTCAAATTCTATGAAAAATGTATTTATAAATTTTTTAAACTTCAATTTTTTACATTCTTTGTCTCTTACAGTAACTTTTTGATCTACCCTTCTAAAAATGACCGCTCGATTTTTTATTGTTTTTCTACTCATTTTCTTTTTTCTTCAAATGTTTTTGTTTTCTGTTTGCGAGGATCAAAAAGTTCACCAGTTCTATAGATCACTGATAACCTCATCTTCTCTTATCTTTTTCTGTTTTTTTCCTGGAAATGGTTTATCTGAACCTTCGTATTTTCTCACCCGAACCGTCAATTTTGAGCTCAATTATATCAATTCCTATGAAAGATATCAATAAAGTTGTCAACTAATAAAATATTTATCATAATATCCAATATTTTATCAGTTGACAGGTTTTTGATATCTTTCATAGGACTCGAGATAAATGAGCTCAAAGTGGAAAGCACCACAACTTTACTTTTCAAAAAAGATTTTGATCAAAAAGTTCACCATTTCTAGAGATCACTGATAACCTTGTCTTCTCTTATCTCTCTTTTTCTCTTTTATTTTTCTCTGCGTCTCTTTTTCTATATTATCAGTTAGTCTCGAGGTCTGGCCTGGTCTTTTGTGTCTCCTTTTTTCCCAGTTTTGACGCAATTTTCAAATTTTCAGCTTCCTGAAAATGATCTCCAGACAAATTATCCTGAAATTCCGGACTGGAAATAATTTTCCCAAGTTTTTTGTGAGTTTTAAACCATTTTTTAATATTGAAGAATGTTCCCGATGAAAAATGAATTCTGAAATTCAAAAAAAAATTCCAGACCCCAATATTCCAAAATCGATTATTCTCCACTGATCCAGCAGACAGTTTGGTCGATAAAATGGTGTCATCGACATTCAGCCACGTGGCAAGGTGCCAGCCGGATAGTTTCAGTACACAGGAGAAGATGAGCAAGGTTTTGGCACCAAGGACCATTGATCATAGTTATCGCAAGGTACGTGGTGATTTTTTCTTTGAGCCAATTTATCTAGTTTCCTGTCAAAGGTATGAAAAAATTGTCAACTGAAAAAATATTGGTAGTATCATGGTAAACCATTTTTTAGTTGACACATTTCTGATATCTCTTATGGGAAGCGAGATAATTGAGCTTAAACTTCCTCTTGTCAGTTTGTCATCCCATTGAGCACCGACACCAACAAACAAAAAGAGTACCTGAGCGCAGCTGGAAGTGTCCGATTGGGTAAAATCCTAGAGGATCTGGATCATATGGCTGTCCACGTGGCGTATGTGCACAATTCGGATGGTGGATCTCTCGATGAGCCAATGACACTTCCACGGACAATTGTGACGGCGTCAGTTAAGAGGATCGATTTGAACAAGTAAGATTTTTTCAGATTCGCAAAGTTTGAACCGATTTATCACGGTTTCCTGGACAGATATCAAAAAGTTGTTAACTGATAATTTGTTTATCACAATATCACCAACATTTTATCAGTTGTTAAATTCTTGGTATATTGCATGGGAGCCGAAATAATTGAGCTCAAACTAGACACTAGCCGTTTCAGGGTTGACATCCATCCATCTCGAGACATCATCATTGATGGTCAAGTGACCTATGCTGGCACTAGCAGCATGCAAGTCTGCCTCAGATTGTTCCAGAACGATGAGAGCGAAAATTTAAACCACTTGCTCAAAGCCGAGTTTATTATGGTTGGTCTTAAGTTTTTTCAGGTCCCATTCCCATGTTTTCAGGTATCCCGTGATCCTCTCGATGGTACAAAAAGTGTTCGTGTACATGGGCTAACGGCTAGAACTCCAGATGAGGCGGAGACGATGCACAAAGCCAAGGAGCACTTCAGAAGACTAGGGAGCCCTGGACAACCTACAATGGAGGAGTTCCGAGTTATACATGATATGTATAATGAGCTGGTTGGGAGAAGTATGGTTCATGATGTGGCGGTTTTGTCAGTAAGTCAAGTTATTTTAATTACCGTCGACATTGAGCTCAGTTGTCTCGATTCCTGTGGAATTTATCAAAAAGTAGTCAACTGATAAATTATTTCTCATAATATCAGCAATATTTTATCAGTTCACAAAGTTTTGATAGCTCTTTTAGGAACCGAGATAATTGAGCTCAAAATGCACAGATAAGGTGGGCACAAAAACAGTATACAACACACTTTGAGCTCCATTATCTTGGTTCCTATGTGAGATATCAAAAAGTGTTCAACTGATAAGTTATTTATCATATTATCACCAATACTTTATCAGTTGACAGATTTTCAATATCTTTTATAGGAACCGATATAATTGAGCTTAAAGTGAACATATAGGGCCCTATTTTGAAATATTCCAGGAATCCGAGATGTGGATGCATAAAACGAACCTATCAGTGACTGAAATCTGCTTCCCTGAATATCAGAACATGTACGGGAAGATTTTTGGAGGATTTCTGATGAGAAAAGCGCTGGAACTCGCCCACACAAACGCCAAACTCTATTGCAAAGGACGTGTCGCGATTCGATCGATGGATCAGATTGAATTCAAGAAACCTGTTGAAATTGGACACGTTCTGCACTTTGATTCGTTCGTAACTTATACAGATGGAAAGTATATCCAGGTTAAAGTGGCTGCATCGATTTCGGATCAGCATAAATTGCCAGAATTGGCGAAACTGAATCATCCGACACTTGGAGAAGAGGTAGCCTATTTCAGTTCCTATCAAAGATGGGATGAAGTTGTCAATTAATAAACTTTTAATCATATTATCACAAACATTTTACTAGTTGACAACTTTTCTATATCTTTAACAGGAACCGAGATTATTAAGCTCAAACGTGGGGGCCCATCTTTTAAGGTAAATTGAAGTCCTCCCACTTTAAGCCGATTTATCTCGATTCCTGTCAAAGATATAAAAAAGTGGTCAACTGATAAATTGTTTATCATAATATCAGAAACGTTTTATCAATTGACATTTTTTTTGAAACCTCTCATACGAACCGAAATATTTGAGCTCAAATTTTCTAGGCCCGCGTCAACACGAACGTCTTCAACTTCACCATGGAGAGTATGGACAATCCGAATGTGTTGCGGGTGGTGCCAAAACACTATGTGCATACGACAAGCTATCTGGAGGGACGACGTCTTCTGAATAATACGTTGAAACGGATTGTGAATTAATTGGAAACTTTTTTGTATGAATGCGATCCTTTTCTTCTTTTTTCTATTTTTCTTTGTCTCAAATTTTTAAATAAAAACACAGTTTCAGTTAACTTTTGGCATTTTCAGGAGTCTGGAGCTCGGATTTCAAGTGTCGAAACACAAACAGGCCTAGATCGAAAACTTTGCATTCACAGAATTTTTTGAAAAATCCTAGTTTTTCAGGTATATGTCGACTTCTGAAAGACACCGAACTTTTTTTTCAAAAAATGTTTTTTTCGAAAAATCTGATTTTTTTTATTCCTAGCGATTTTACAGCGAAAAATCAAGCTTTCAGCTGCTTTTCAACCCAAAAATTCAAACATCGCGCGTCGACTTGTCCACGAGGAGTACAAAATGCAAAATCGATCAAAACCTTACGATTGGTTAAATTTCAATGATTTTCACTCATTTTTTTACATTTTCATTACAAAAACGGGCTCAAATAGAGTCCTACCAAACCCAAATGTACCATATTCAAAAATCCGCGAGCTTGTTTTTGACAGCTTCGGCTAAATTCAAGAGAGGTGATGGCCTAGCACCTTGTCTTTGATTCTCTTCCCACCTAATTTTGTCTGTCACCTCTTCACAATGCACACTATTTCTTGGCACCTCAATTATTGGGGGAATCAACCAATCAAGAACCAAGAATTAACTTTCAGAGATTTCCAGTCATAAAAGTATTGAACAGTTTTGAAATCTAGTTTCAAGTCTTCCTTACCAACATATATGACTGTTAGGCCAGCTATGGACAATCTATGGGCAAGCAACGGACCATCAACGAACCATCAACGGACAAGCAACGGATGGGCAAATGGAAGACAAGCAATGGGCAAGCAACGGATCATCAATCGACCCAATCAATGGATCCCATCAATGGACCATCAATGGGAAAGCTATAGGCAACCAATAGGCAAGCTATGGGCAAGCAACGGACCATCAACAGATCACACCAATGAACCCTGTTAACGGACCATCAACGGACCATCAACGGATGGGCAAATGGGAGACAAGCAATGGGCAAGCAACGGACCATCAATGGACTCAATCAATGGACCCCATCAATATACCTTATCAATGGACCCCATCAATGTACCATCAACGCGCAATGGTCTTCTGTATGGTCTTTTTTGCGGCAATTGAGTCTCTACTTTCCCAGGATCCCAAATGTGCTCAAAAATATAGGACAGGTGAATAAATACTAAATCTTAATACAGACAACATGATGACGTGTGACATAAAATCAATAAAATGTCTTCTAATTTTTTTCCCAGGGACCAAATCAACCAGAAGAATGTCCTGTCCCACTGTTCTCTTTTTTCTCCTTCTTTTCTCTTCCATACCTATTATTGATTTTTCGTCAATTTTGAAGTTTTTTCGAATTCCGATCACCTAATCACTTTATGTTTACAGGTAACCATGACCACGGCCAGTTCAAAAATCTACATTGCAAGTTATCCGAAATCGGTAACAGAAAATGTGCTGTGGAGCATTTTTGAACAGTTTGGAGAGGTCAAAAATATATTTTTGAAGGGGGGAGGCAAGAATTTTGGAATCATGGATTTTGTGGGACCGGGGTAAGTTTCATTTATGGGATTATCTATTTATTTATGGGATTATATACGTATTTTTAGGGGATTTTTGGTCATGTTGCCTATGATGGTATCTGCGGGTCTTTGAAAATTTTGAAGAGTCTAAAACAGACCCAGACTAGAAACTTTGCATTCATAGACTTTTTCGAAGACTCCTACTTTTGGCGAATTCTGAAAAAAAAAACTTTTTTTTGGTTCGTTTTTGTACTAAAATGTGAAAAAAGTCAAATAATTATTGAAATTCGACCAAGCGGATGGTTTTGATCGTTTTTAAATTTTGTACTCCTCGTGGACAAGCCGACGCGTGAAATTTGAATTTTTGAGTTACAAATCAGCTAAAAACTTGATGTTTCGGTGTAAAACCGCTAGGAATCATTAAAAACTAACATTTCAAAAACATATTTAAGATTTTATGTTTTGTACTCCTCGTGGACAAGTCAACGTTTAAATTTTGAACTTTCGGGTTAATTACAACTTAATACTTGATTTTTCTGTGTAAAATCGCTAGGAATCAGGAAAAATCGAATTTTCTAAGAAAAAGTAGATAATTGAAGATTTTGAATTTTGTACTCCTGGTGGACAAGTCGACGCTCGAAATTTGAATGTTTGAGTTACAAAACATTTGAAAGCTTGATTTTTCGGTGTAAAATCTCTAGGAATCATAAAAAAAACTAAAATTTCAAAAAAATATGATTTTATGTTTTGTACTCCTCGTGGACAAGTTAACTCTTAAAATTTGAATTTGGGGATTGAAAAAAACGTCCCGAATTTCGAATTTTTCAAGAATCCACTGAAAACACAATATATCTCATTGACCGGTACTGTATATTCTTGTCTGTCTGTAGGTCAATTTGTAAAGATGTCCACACTTTTTTTGGTCCCTTGGTCCTTTGTCCTTGGGAAGAACCAATAAACCTTCATTTTACTTGTTTTTGAAGCAAAATTTCCATGAAAAAACAGCCCTATTTTTCGAAAAGAAAGCCCAAAAAGTTCAATTATTATAATCCAAAAAAAAACCAAAATTCCGGGAAGAAAATGGTCTGTCGTCTGTCTGTTTGTCGGTTTATCCTGATTTCTGAACTTTTTGCCAGAGGACATTCAGCCAGATATTCAGTCAGAGGACAGTCAGAGGACATTCAGGACAACGTAATAATCGTATATTCAATTTCCAGAGACGCCGAAAATGTAATAAACCAATGTCTGGGCATGGAAATCGATGGGAAAAAGCTGCGCCTTGAAATCTCCAAAAGCTCGGGACCCCGAAAAAAGGGCTCCGATCCCGACGAACGCAAACCCATGGATCCATCCCTAGACCCAAAGTTTCGTGTAGTGATAAAGAACCTTCCGGAAGGTACCACAAGTCTGGAATTGAAAAATCTGATTGCACAAATCGGCTTGGAGTCGAAACATATCGTTTGGATTCCCTTACGAAATGAAGGAATAGTTTATTTTAAATGTTTGGAGGATGCTCAGAAGGCGAGAATGGCTTACAATAATTTTTGGTTTAGAAATGAAGCGGTGAGTTTTTGAGATAATACATTTTGGTCTACCGTAAAACCTCTAATAGAACGACACCCGGATCGTCCACTTTGAGCCTATATATCTCATTTTCTGTGAAAGATATCAAAAAGTGGCTAACTAGTAAAATGTTGCTGATATCCTGATAAACATTTTATCAGTTGACATCTTTTTGATATCTTTCAAAAGAAGTGAGATATATAGGCTCAAAGTGGACGATCCGGGTGTCGTTCTATTAGAGGTTTTACGGTAAATTATGGTCAAAAATTTGTGGAGCTATGAAAATACAAATTTCAGGGTAAAGAAGGCTGCCTTCTCCTTAACGAATGGTCCCCACCAGTATATATTACTTCTGCTGTAAAGGTTGAACCTCCAGAACCCCCTTCAGAATCAATCGAATCTTCCAGGGGTAATAAAAGGTTAGATTCTACTGAATATGGTTCTAAGAAAACTCAAAAACCATTCTGAAAAATTTCAGACCTTTTACTGAAAGACCGGAATCTGGAAATGATGAAAAACGAATGCGACTGGATGTTCGAGAAGCTCCTGGTCTGATTCAAAGAGATATCAAACTAGAGCCGCCGGAAGAGCCCATGGATGATCCTATAGAACCTATACCTCAGTCAACGATCCTTCAGAAGCAGCCTGTAGCTGTCCCCCAGAGTTTCAGGGAAGACGTAAGATTGAATTTTATTCAAACCCAGCTAGCTAGAGCGCCTCCGGCGCGATTTGGGATTTCTAGGTTCATAGATTCCTAGATTTCTAGATTTCTAGATTTTTAGATTCCTAGTTTCCTAGATTCCTGGATTCCAAGATTCCAAGATTTTCAGTTTTCTCGATTTCTCGATTTCTAGATTCTTAGATTCCTAATTTTCCAGATTTATTGAAGCTTGGATTTCTAGTCATATACTTCTAAATCAATCGGTTTTTTGAGGAAAAATTTCTAATATTCATTTTTTTCAGACCCAAACAACTACAGTATCCACCGACCCTTCAGTTTGTACAAAAATCACCTCCAACAAAAGAACCACCACTCACAGAAACTTCCAATCTCAAACTGATCTTTCTACCCGGCCCACGACGTCGTCTGGATCCCAAACGTACAGATGCTGCTCATGTTGCCAATGCTCTTGCTCAAATTGTGATAATCCAGCAAAAAATCCAAAAGGAAATTCCACTAATTTTGATATCGAGCACATAAAAAAGATGGGCGGCAAGGTGGTAGTTGGCGACGATGGGAAGGTAAGTTTTCAAGCTCAATTATCTTGGCTCCTAAAAGAGATATCAAGAATGTGTCAACTAATAAAACATTGGTGATATTATGATAAACAATTTAGCAGTTAACAACTTTTTGATAACTTTGATAGGAACCAAGATAAATAGATTAAAAGTTAAAATTTGAGAAATTCCATTTGATTTCCCACAGAGCTTTTAAAAATCTCCTTTTCTACTTTTATTTCCTTTTTTTCAGGAATTTCTTCAAATCCCAATGGAATTGGTCCAATTGCTGGCTTCTTTGACCTCAGTCTCTCAAATTCCAGCACCTCCAATTCCAGCACCCCGTCTAAAGCTTCCAGTACCAGAATGGCTCCAAATGCGGGATGACTCAGTTGGACAAAAACCAAAATTCAGCCTAGCGATCCGGGATAAATCTAAAAACCAGGATCCAAGAAGTTTTGATATGGAACATATAAGGAAACTAGGTGGAACACTGACCTATAGTGGTGGAAGGGTAAGTGGACTCTTAGATTTAAAAAAAAATTAGGATATAAAAAATTTTTCAGGCTAGAATTCGAATTCCAAAATCTAGTTTTAAGCCAAGGGAATGGCAAAACGCCACTGATGTAACAACTGTTGGAAAAACAGCGCCAAAAAGTCTTCAATTCGTAACAAATCCTGCTAAACAGAACCCAAAAGGATTCAATATGGATTATGTTAGAAAAATGGGAGGCAAATTGACATATCGAGATGGACAGGTATATTTGAGATCCTATAATGATTTTATAATTCTTATTCAGGCAATCATCAGTATTCCGAAGCCTACGGTGGATTCTCAGGTGCAGGCGACATCGGATTCAGCGCCACCAGTTTCTGCAACACCTCTTAAAATGGCTCAGCCTTCAAATTTAAAAAACTCAGCGCCTCTGAAACCTCTAACAACTGAATGGCAGAACGTTCCGAATGTCAATTTCGGGAAGAAAGTTCCTCATAAACTTCAGATCTGTAAAGCGTCTGAAAGAGAAAAAGAGAATCCCAATACTTTTGGTGTTGAACACATTCAAAGGTTGGGTGGCAAAATTACTTATCATGATGGAAAGGTACGCTCACTTTTTTCTCTCAATTTTTCGGTCATTTTGAAGTGGTGGCCTAACTTTTGCAAGTTGGGTTTTCTAAGCCATCATTTCAACTTGACCTAGAAAACACACAAGGGCATGTTAGGCCATTTCTAAAAAGTTGGGTTTTTTAGGCCAGCTTGGTAAAATAGTCTAGAAAAGGCCTCACCTGCCCCTGGTGTGTCTTCTTGGCCATTTCTTCATGGTGGCCTAACTTTTG